AAGTCCCTCAGCACGAAATGCAAAAATACAACGTCCAACCTTGCACGGTGGCTTCATCTCCGCATTGCACCTGCTTTAGGGGCCGAGCTTGGGCAGGGAAGAGGCTGGAAGACCGAGGCTGGACAAGGAACTGCAGAATACATATACCCATAGCGTGTGCTTTCAAATCCTCAAGTAAGATCCGGGAGTAGGGAAAGGGCCGGCTCTTGATCATTGCCATTGCCCTATTACGGATACCTCACTTGTCCAAATCCTGTGCTCTCTCTTCTCTTGCCTCTCGGACTCTCCTGAGTCCTGAGTCCTTCCCACGGTTCAAGCTGTCTCGTGCCTTGTCCCTCTTCTTGCTCTCTCCACATGTCGCCCCCGACCAGTCAGTTGGTCGGCACCTTACAATGTATGCACCGGGATACGCCTCTTTGCGGCGCCGCGGTATGGTGAATTCAACCTGCAAGGGAATGACCTGACCCAATAATTTCTAGCGACCCAGACCGATCGAAGGTGCACTGCAGCAACTGTGGCCCTGCCAGGCTGGTTTTTGCCTCCATCTCATGTTTTTTCGAGTTTTGTTTATTTGTCTCCTTTCTTTTTCACCTTCTACTGCAGCTTCCACTGGTCTAGTAGGAGGTTTGGCTGCAGTCGGATCAGTCGTCTGTCTCCGTACCCGTTAGCTGCCTGTTGCAAACCTGAGGTATCATCAGCGTTTCCCTGTTCAGTCGCTCTCCGCCTTTTCCCGCCCATGGCAGGTGGCCCACGGTCATGATTGCTCCAGGTGCATTTGGTGTGGCCGAGTTCCTCACTTGCCTCATTCGCTCTCCCAAGCTGGGACGGCAATAGTGTGCTGTAACTTAGACTCAGCAGCTGCTGCCGCCATGCCGTGTCACGTCATGTCATGCGCGCTGCACTGCACTGCACTGCACCGCACCGCACCGTATCGTATCGCATCTTCTCTCGGACGCACCTTCACAGCAACAACTCCATCACGATGCAGCTAGTTCTAAAATAAACCACAACCTCTCAACAACAGCATCTTCCCTGATCCACTGGAGGCGAATCGCGGTATTCTCCGAGACACCTCAGCCACGGTAGACCTGGACTTGTCTCATTTGGGTCATCCACTCCCTTCCCTTATTTTGCAGCTGCCAAGCTGTAAAGCTATCCCGGATAGTCAGCCTTATTGCACGCCGCTGCAGTTTAAACACACATCACATCACCTCACATCTAACAGTACGTAAGTTCTCTGTGCGTCCGTGGCCATCAATGGCCCAAGATATTTCTGTGCAAGGGGAGCATATTGGCTCTGCGAATAGACTAGCTGAGCTGAAGCATTAGACTTTGCTGCGCCCTACACTCTCTCAGTGGACGACAGTGCGTCAACAATTGAATTATCCAGATGGACTGCAACGTCTCATCTGCACCGAGTTTGCCGCACTACGGAACCCAATTCTGACCTTACTTTTAACTTGGTTGGTTCCGTCACTCACGCCCGTCAGCACCAGCCCGGCTCCAGAACTCAAAATTTCCCTCATCTTTCTTCTCCAGGAGTCCAGAATGACAGCGTGGGCTGGTCGGTAGGAAGCTGGCAATTTTTGGGCTCCCGCGTCTCAATCCATCCATCTTGTCCGTGCCGTACCGTACTTTACCGTACCGCACCGCACCGCATTTTGCTTTGGATCGGGAGAACCCGAGTCACGACACATTCAGCTGCTGGAAGCTGCAAATTCACCCCATCCATGTTAATTGCTTCAGTAGCAACAATAACACCCTATAGCAGGATCTGCCCCACCGGGACGACTCGCCAAATCCGTCATATATGACGGACAAGACGCTTTATCCGGGAAAGGGCAATGAATGCATGGTCTAATCTGCAGGATTTGCCACAAAACCGCCATCGTCTCGCAATTTTCTTTACTGGACGCTGTGTCCTCCATCCTCCAGCGTCGAGGGTGTCCGTCGACAGGTACAATCATACGCAGCACCCGCATCTCATTTATAATCTTCCGCCTTTCTTGGAGACCTGGGCCGTCCGCTGCCGGTGCAGGGTTGCAGATTTCCCGTGGCAAGGCACGCCCCGAGACAAGGGGCCATACGACAGGCTTGAGCCCTGAAGCCTCTCGCCACTCTTCCTCCATTGCTTTTTTCCACACCCCACCGCGGAGTCGGTCATGGACTCACGGTTCTTGGGTCGGTCCATGTTGGGATCATGGTTTATGATCCGCTATGATCCGACTGCAGATTTGTTCCCCAATATATCGACCGCACTCAACGACCAAGACCTTTTTTCCAACTTTTTCCGAGCCCTGAACACCCAATACCGAGTGGTTGAAGAGGGACGTGTCGCCCATTTACCCGGATATATCTCCGCAGCAACTTTGCAGACCGGTGTGCGGCTTTTCCTTCCGTGAATCAAATTCCACAACAGGGACGGGATGCATCTATCCGTAGAAAAGGGGTTACGCCCTAGACAGGACCCCTCACAGAAGCACAAGCGCCTCACGACAGCTACGGCCCCAAGCCACCTATTCGAGCTCTGGCATTGTTCTTGTCCGGCCAAAGTGACCACGAGTACTCATGGCACGTGTTTGAACACCGAACTCGTACCAAACTGGGCGGAAAGCATGTACAAGGGAATCTGACAGGGTAGGGCACTGCGGAATTACACCCGCGAGCTCCGTGAAGCGAACACTACTAGTTTGTAAATCTTACCACGGCCGTTGAACCATCTGTGGTGCTCTGAATCTTTTTGACCACAGCCATTCTACGGTAATGGGCGTTGGCTTTTTGCTGCTCGCTGTTCGAAGCACCGGCAGAACGTCTTGCCCATTCGAGGGGTGACGCTCATCGGATGAACTGCCTATGAAAGCCTGTTAGGTCCAGAAGACAGTCATGTTTGGCGGCGCGGCGGGGCAGATCAAGTTTGCAAACCACAAACAATAAGACGGCTTGATATAGCCATCCAGCGTTACACGCAGTGATCAAACGGGCACAGCGCCGAACGAGGGCGATAATACCTCACTTGCTCATATCGTAGCAACTGCTAACCCCCAAGGCGGGAGGCTGCTCGCTATCATACTAACAAATAAAGAGACCCGCCGTCGACTCCCGTGGGCCCAGAGGAGAGTCCCAGACAATGCGTCCCATTTGCGTCAGGGGCGACTAACTTGGAGCTTCAGTGCTGGCCGGTAAGCCAGCTTCGAAGTACCCCTTTAGCGCTTTCACGAGTCCTCCCTCTCGGGTGGTTAAAAAGCAAAGCAATCATCATCAGAATGACAAGTTCAATCAGTCTTTGCTCAAGAACGCATAAATCATTGTATCGGGATAGCTCGAGAGATGAGAGAGATGCAACCGTGAACAAAGGACGCGAATCCACATTTGGTTAAAATGAATGCAGCCACTAGACGTATTACGAACGCCTTTTGTCCAGAAATCTATGGATAGCGCGAAAACAAAAAGGCCTATGATGCTTGGCATCTCTCCAAAATTTGCCTAGCCAGGGCCTAGAAGGATCGCAAACGCGGGGGCACGGAGGTTCATTCTCAGATGAACTAGGTAAAACCTTTACACATTGTTTTCTACGGTCTCCCGTCTCTTCCGCAGTTGGGCGAAAGCGGCCAGCGTTGGCTTCGAAGCAACCCGAGGTACCGGCAAGTGAGATGAGCAAAAAGGCCCTGGCGTTGTGGCTGGCCAAATGGACGTAGGTATGTTCACCAATCCCATATTGGCATTTGCTCCGACCGCTAACTTATCTAAAGGATCAAGCGGATGGCTGACACAATAAGGAAGGCGTTTTCAGGTTGAATCAACCTGTCTGGCCTAAAAGCATACCTTTGCCGCGACCCCCATGTTGACATCAGCCTACCATACATGAGTACCTGTGAGCAGGGAGTAGGAAATATGGACAACATCAAGGACGGCATGTCGACAGAGGCCCAACAATGCCTGACCAAGAGATCGGGGGGGGAAAAACCACAAAAAAAAAAAAAAAAAAACCACGGTCTCCTGGAGGAACATCAGAACACCGGTGTCAGACCTACGTCAGTCTCGGGCAGAAAGCCCTGGCCCCGAGTTCCTGAGAGTGACGACCAACCCATTTCCTGTGAAAGTCAGCCCCGTCATTTCTGGTGTTTCCTAGCCATAGTTCGTCGGTCGTCATTCATACCCAGTTACTATGGGGCCAGTCATATCTTGCTATGAGCGCAAAGACCTCTCGTAACATCTACTTCATGCTCCATGTTCAGGGAACTCTGATGTTGGTTTCTCTGCGATGTCCTCATACCCGTTCAACTAGGTATCTACTTTTCTACTTGATGGAGCTACTGATGTGACGGGACACGTGCTGCGGCCTCGGTGACTCAGCGCTTGTTGTCCGATGAGAATGCTCAACATCTGCGACCACACTCATTATGCGCTTTGATAACTCACTCGCACCCCGGACGACGTTGAGTGTACCGCTCTGGGATGTCATCTTTGCTCAGCTGTGCGTTCCTGGCCGGCTTGTGGTATACTTTGCCTCTTGAATCCCCAGCCAGGGTTTATTTGTTCACACCTCAAAGCCACGGTCACGGCACTAGAGTAACATCCTGATCTTCTCTTCGGAATTCGTGGTACAGCGTCATCCGATTTTTTTTTACAGATATTGATACGTGCGCCTGTCAATCTCCGACAGTTGTTGATGAACTTCTTTTCGGCATTGAGCATCATAACGGCCCCGTCCATATCTTGCCTCGCACCATAGTGGACGTGCGGCTCTTCTCGTCGTCCAGACCGAATCCCTCAAGGTTATGAAGTGAAATCGGCTCCGGCTCGTCACTCCTTCGTCTCCGTGACTGGAGGTTTACATGGCCATTTACAGGTCTCCCTGATCGACTCTCGAGATCCAGTTCTGAGGCATTCACAAACTCATCACAGAAGACTCAACGACGGCCGCTTGTGGACAAATTGAAGGGTTCGATCAAACAATGATCTGACCATACCCGGTCTGTAGATCCTACGGAACTGGACCTATGCAGCCTCAAAGTTCTTTCGCAAAGTTTCAGGCACAGCCCGCCTTTGGAGTTCCCGATCCAACGAGGGAATACTACTCTGGATTTGAATATCCAATCGCAATGGGCGTCAACGACATCACCCAGCCTCCTCTCCTGTTGCAATGCTACCAGCTTTGGGTTCCTTCTATGGGATTATGCGGGAGACTGCCAATGGATGCTACGCAAGGAAGAGACTATGTTCGTTGCCCCCTTGCGACACTGCGATGACACTGAGTGACATTTTTCACACACAACAGCCCGATTTCGAATGGACAGTGCCATGAGATGGACGGGCGCAAAGTTCTTCACGACCAGAGGCGTTCTTCCCTGGTGGTATGCGAACCAAGCGCTTCAGTTACTCCTGCTACGTCGGCGGTTAACATAACGGCTGAGTTGAAGTGGCGGCTAAAGCAGTCGGTACTTTGCGAAAGTCGTTGCATACAAAGGTCGTCGGACGGATTCTGTCGGCACTCTCCATCTTGCCCCGAGTCGAATGGGTTTACGCCTCTAGATCGACTCGCTAGATAATGGCTACCCTGGAGGACGATCCCATAGCCCCTCCTCAGTCGGCACTAGATTTCGGTTCTGAACCTTGAAAAACGCTTCGTGGTGACATGAAGTTGATTCGTTGCGCAAGACGTGAGCCAATTGAAGAAAGGAATCAAATGCGCGGGAAATATTTGCCGCTAGAGAAGTGTCACCGCACCTCTAGAGCTATCCATACGGACGTAAGATTCGACCAGGAGGGTGTTGGAGATGTTGGCGTCATCCATCTGCTGTGGCTGATAGGGGTCGCCCGTATGTGACCCTGAACCCTCCGTGCTGATGGCATCATCCCGCTTTTCGCAATGAAGATCGCAGCAGTTCTCTTGCTCTGTTCCGAATTGAAGATTACACGTCTCGAGGTCTCCTACCAGTCTTTGTCTACGAACACCCACACCCCTGGGAATACACGGTTCTGAGATTTGGCGCGGGATTGGAACCGAAATTCCTGAACCAAAGTATCTTTTCAAGCACAGACCACAACAATCTTGGGAGAGGACCGGATTCCTGAGCGAGTGATCTCCTGTACTTAGTCACATGACCATGCACGTGAGGGTATTATCAAACGTGCCCGGGCCGTAGGGGTCTTGGACCCTGCCGCAAGGGATGAATGGATAGTTTCAGCCGTGCTGTCAACAGATGCGTGGCTTAAGGGGTGAGATGATGCGAAGCTCATATCGTACCATGAACTGGAAATCCTCAATTATCTCATCAACGGAATAAAACATTACTTGTGTGAGATTGGTGGTGGAGCTTTCACCACGGCCGTCTCTCACTACAACCCACCGTATCCGTCTTACAAGCAAGGGAGCCAGTATCACAGAACAGGGAGAAACCGCAAGAGAGTCAAGCAAGCAACAGGAAAGACGATTGAGAAGAGAGAACAGAACATAATTATAATGGACGCAAATATGTCGACATCCGCTCTGGGTGAGCCACAACACCTGGGCATTGGCTTCTACCTGCTCCCCTTCGCCACGTTCCTATGCTTCCTCGTCCCGGTCCTCTACATTTTCCCCCCGATCCCGGCCACGACCAGCGACGCGCTGCGCTCAACTCACACCAAGATTGGCGTCTCGCCGCCAGAGAGCAACCTCCAGGACCAGTACTCCGTCTCTGGTAAGTCCGACAACACTAGCAATGCTGGCAATGCTGGCGGCGGCCCCGTCGCCCGGGTCAAGGCGCTCTGCGTGTACCCCATCAAGTCGTGCCGCGGCATCGAGGTCACACAGAGCAAGCTCCTACCCACAGGCCTCGAGTTTGACAGACTGTACACCTTTGCGCAGCTCAAATCCCGCTTCCCCGCCGCCGTGGACGACTCGGCCGAGGACAAGGACCAGCACTCGTGGGAATTCGTCACGCAGCGGCAGTTCCCGCTGCTGGCGACCGTCAAGGTGGATGTGTACGTCCCCGACGCGACAAAGAGCACGGTGTTCATGGAGAAGTCCTCGGAGGCGTGGATCGTGATGCGGTTCCCCTGGCGGGAGCCCGGGTTCAGGGGCACAATGCAGTGGGTTGCGGCCAAGATCCGGGACGGGTGGCGGGGCGTGCCGGAGATGGAGGTCCTGTTGCCGGTCGAGTTCCCTACCGATGGGGAGATTGCGGAGCGTGGGTACACCTACGAGGACGTGAAGGTGTGGAAGGAGATGGTGCCGGCGCTCAATATGGAGAAGGAGCTTCCGGGGGAGCTGAGCCGGTACCTGGGCGTCAGCAACAAGTTGGCGCTGTTTAGGGTCGATCCGGGGCAGCTGAGGGAGGTGTATCGGTGTGCGCCGAGGAAGGAGGAGGCTGGGTATCAGCCCATTGTTGGGTTCCAGGACGCTGTGAGTATTACCTCGTCTTTCCGCGCCCCCCTTTTTGTGTTGTTTCTTTCCTCTTGGGAGAGGGATCGGCCGAGAAAGAGGTTTCGCTGAGCTAACGAACCATTCCGGGCCCGGGATGAAAAGTATCCCCTGCACATCATGAACATTAGCAGTCTCCAGGACTTTGACGCCCAGGTGCCCAAGGACGACGAACTCAAGCAGACTGATGTGAGGAGATTCCGGTCGAACATCATTGGTAAGTGCTGCGTGACACAGCATGATAACCCCCACCCACCAGCTCTTTTGTTTTTTACACTCCCGGATCCCTCTGGTCTTGAAACCAGCAACATCTTTGGTTACAGAGCCTCGCTGACGGAAATACTGCAACGTCATAGTCTCTGGTGCGCCTGCGTATGACGAAGAGTCGTGGAAATGGGTCAACTTCACTCAGGGCACCTCCAAGGTCACCATTCCGGCAAAGTTCCAAGTCTCTTGCCGTACCGTCCGGTAAGCCTCACGCATCCTAACCCGCCGGCCCCGAAACCCCCCATCCTCCCCCCCACTCGGCCTCTTTCCATCCAAAGTTCGAACACGCAAAGTCGCGCACGAAAGTGACAGTACATGCGAACAACGTTGGCTAACGGACCTTCAAAAAGCTGCAAAATGCCAAACGTCGACCCGGTCACCGGCGCCCGCCACGGCGTCGAGCCGGACAGGTCCCTCCGCAAGCTCCGCGATGTCGATGAGGGCGCTCAGGGCATGGGGTGTCTGGGCATGCAAATGTGCCCAGTCTTTGAGGGCACCGACCGCGTCGAGTACATGCAAGCCTGGCTCGAGGTCGGCATGGACGTCTCTGTGCTGGAGCGCGGTGAGCACGTTTATATCAAGCAGTGAATAAGGGAATCTCTCGCCAATCTCACTCTAGAGAAAAAGCATTTGGTTGTATCGATGAGATTGGGTGCTGGGAGAGTGAGTTGTCTTGCTTGGTGACGGTGTGAAGGCATAATAGACTTAGACTTTGGGCCACAATCACATGCAGAAATGGGAGTACTGTAGGTTAGGAACAGGAAAAAAAAAATTGGATTCGTAATTTTCGCTCTCGAGCCTCCATTAGATATCATGCCATTACTCCCATAGTTCCGGTTCGTTTGCATAACAACCCGTCCGAACCCAGTGCAGAAAAAGGACAAAAGCGTGCTCCGTCGTGGTATCCATCCAGCCAACAAAAAACATCCATCCCACCCAGAAAACCCCCTTCAACTGCCCTTGCCTCCCTTCCCATGTAGCCTACCTAGGAGGAAGGAGACGCTCAAGGGCAAACAGGAAGCGGAAGAAAATCCCATCATCGTCATCGTCATCATGTCGCGCTCCAAAGCTGTTTTCAATACACCCGCGAGCAAAAGCTCACGTAAACCTGGCCAGTGCTTTACTTCATGTCGGCAGGCGTCAGCGCTTGAACCATACTGGTTCCTTCACTGAAGCGGGTCCGGAAGATGCGGTTGGCGTTCTGGAACATGCCATCCTTGAGCGAGACGACAATAAATTGCGAGCCCTTGAAGCGCGTCTTGATCAGGCGACCAATGTTTTGGGTGTGGGACAAATCCAGCGCGGCGTCAACCTCGTCGAGAATGTACATGGGCGCGGGCTTGAACTGCAGCAGGGCCATGATGAGGGAAAGTGCAATGAGAGATCTGGGTGGCGCGTGTTAGTTCGGATCCATATCAACCAAGGAAATAATGGAGCGTCTCCTACCTCTGTCCACCAGACAGCTCAGTCAAGCTCTGCTTCCACACCTTGCCAAGGGAGACCTTGACCTCGAGACCCTCGCTAATGGTCTTGCCTTCGGGAGGATCCAACTTGGCGAAACTGCCGGGCAGAAGCTCGTTGAAGATCTGGCCAAAGTCACCGTTGACCTTCTCCCACGTCTCCTGCAGGGCCTTCTTCTTGTAGTCGTCCAAGCTAACGATGGTCTCCTCAATCTTACGCTTGTCGCGGATGACCGTCTTCATCATATGCTTGAGCGAGACCTCCTTCTTCTCGACACTCTCAATCATGTTCATGACCTTGGGGTTGATCTTCTTCTTCATACCCTGGAAGCGGTCTGTGAGGTTGCGGAGCGTCGACTTGCACTCGCCAATGTTCTGGCCCTTGAAGTCGTATGGCGTTCCCGTACGACCAAAGTTCTCCTTTTCGTCAGCGATCCAGTCGTGCTCCTTCTCCATGTGCGCCACTGTTTGCACGGCCGATTGCTGCTCCTTGTGGAATCTTTCGACCTGATGACCAAGCTTCTGCTTCTCGAGACTCTCCTCGGCGATGCGGGCGTTCTTGGATCGAGTGGCATCTTCGAGAGCGTGAAGTTCATCATCGAAGCCATGGAGCTTGGCTCGCTCATCATCGAGCTCGGCCTGAACACCGTCAAGAGTCTCTTGGAGAGCGCTTTGCTGTTTGACGAGATCCTCAATGTCCTGCTGTTGGGCCCTAATGGCAACTTCAACTTCCTGCAGCTGTTCGCGGGCAGCGGACAGGTCGCCCGAGACTTGCTCTGAGTCGAGCTGGGCGCCTTGTACTTCCTTCTGTAGAACCTTGACTGAAGCAGTGTTTTTGGTGAGGTCGGCTCGCAACTTGTCCAATGATTTCTGGAGCTCAACGAGCTTCGCATCCTTGTTGTTGTCAAAGTCCTTCATGTCCTTCTCAATCCGCTTGACGTCAGCGGTGGCTTCGGTGTGCCTCTTCTTGGCCTCTGCAGTGTCGTTCTTGAGCTGGGAGATGGTTTCTTTCATGTTCTGCACCTCCTGGATGATTGAAGAAGAAGAGTTGCTGCTAATTTGCTCCTCGCCAAGCTTGATCTCGTGGCTCTTCAGATCAAGCTCTTGCTTGATCTTGCGGGCGTGGTCAAGTTTTGACTTCTCACTCGCGATCGTGAGCTGGAGCTGGTGCAGAGAAGACTCGGCCTCCTTGAGTTGACGCGTAATGTCGTTCAACTTCTGCAGGGTGACAAGTACGCCGCTGGAATTGGGGGAGCTACCACCGGAAAGTGTACCTGAGGGGTCATAGGAATCTCCCTCGAGGGTGATGGACCTCATCCTAACATTGGGGTCAAAGGTCACCTTCTTGGCTGTCTCTGCATCTGCGCAGATGAGAGTGTTGCCAAACACATACTCCATGGCGGCGGAGACCTCATCGTCGTAGCCGACGAGTGACAGGGCCAGATCAACCTTGCCTGGCGCAATTCTTTGCGCAGTCGCGATGGCCTGAGCTGAGGCCTTGAAGGCGGCGATCTTGTTCAAGGGGATAATGGTGACACGCTTGCGAAGCTTTCCGCCCTGGAGCAGTTGAGTGCCAGTAACCTCGGAGTCGACCACAACATTGTAAAGACGACCGCCAGCGCAGATCTCGAGCGCCGTACCGGCTTGCGTGTTTTGCTTGTCGAGCGTGAACAGTTGAGCAACCAATCCCTTGACCTTTGATCTGTCAAAGTTGGGGGTCGGGTCGGCGTAGTTGAAGTCAATGTTGGCGACCTTGCGCTTCAAGCCGTCTGCCTCCTGACGAAGGCCTCGAATTTGTTGCTGCAGAGACGACTGTTTCTGGTACAGCTGCTCTTCCTGACCGGGCTCAAAGCCCAGTCGGCCCAGCTCTTTCTCAAGCTTCTGCGCTTGTGACCTCAGGCCTTCGAGATCCCTCAGGAGGTCGGCATTCTGTTCCTTTGCCTTCTTGGCTCGCGGCTCTTCCTCCTTGATTCGCTTTTCAAGATGGGCAATCTTCATCTTTGCTTGCTCCTGCTCGGTGACCGCTGCCGTCGCGCGGTTCCTTGCGTCTTGGAGCTGGCCTTGATAGCCGCTTTCTTGACCATCCTTGGATGCGACACCAGTCTGCAGGGTTTGCAAGAGTTCCTCCTTGGATTCGGCTTCCTGGCTTTGCTTCTCCAAGTCATCCTTGGCTGCGTCGAACCGGGCTTTGATTTCATCGAATGCTTTGGTCTTTTCTTGCAATGTCGCCTCCAGTTCCGCCACGTTCTTCTCGACTGCCGTCTTTTTCTCTTTCTCTTCCGCCATGCTGGACTTCTTCAAGTCCATGACGGTGGCAAGTCTGACCAGCTCGTTCGAATGCTTCTTGACAGCGTCCTCCAAGCCCTGCGCCTTTCCTCCTTTCTTCAACTCCTTGTCGCGCTGAGCCCGGACTCGCTTGACATCCTCTTCAAGATGGGATATTTCGCTCTTTAGTCGTGCCGCAGACTCCTCAAGGTCCTTTTGTCTTTGTTTCTTGCCTTCCAGGTCTGCTGCCGATTGCTCAAGTTTTTCCTGACACCTTACGTAGTCGTGCGCAACAACCACTCGTGTGAGGCGCTCGAGGTCGTTCTGAGTTTGTTGAAAGTCGAGGAACGCACGCTTCTCCGTCCTGAGCTTCTCGAGTTTCGGCTCGATCTCGTCGCGGAGTAGTTCTGTGATTTCTTGCAGCTTCATCTCTTTCTTGGCCATGGTCTTTAGCGCCTTGTCCCTTCTATCCTCGAACATTCTCGTTCCCGCGGCTTCCTCGATCATGGCCAGAATTTCGACCGGCTTCATGTTGAGGACCTTGGTGATTCGGCCCTGCATAATGAGGAAGTTGGGATTGTTGATATTCAGCTGGACAGACTGAAACAGGTTTTGTACAGTCTGTTGTTGAGCTCGGTGTCCATTGATGAGGTATTTGGAGGTGCCGCCGAGGACGATTTGTCGAGTCACACTAATGGTCGAATACTCTTCGAAGCCGATTGGTGACTTCTTCTTATCTCTGTTGTCGAAAACAATCGTAACACTCGCTTTAGTCACACCGGCTTGACCGCGCTTGTAGATAAGATCCTGTTGTGAATAGCATCAGCTTCGCCGGTCACCAGCAGAGTCAACCACGACGACTACGCACCTGGAGGTTTTGCGCTCGGACTGTTGTCATGTTCGTAATGCCCAAAACGAAACAGATGGCGTCCAAGATGTTGGACTTTCCGGAACCGTTGAGACCGGTGATCGAGTTGAAGCTTTCGTCCCTGTATTGTGTGAGCTCTTGTCCCCTCGCAGCCAAGGCAAGGTGTTTGTTTACCATCCCGAAATCACCGTTCGCACGGCATACGACTTGAAGCCCTGAATTCGGTTAGTATCGTAAAGTCAAAAAAAGAGCCGTGATCGCATACGTCTATAATAACCTCTATGACCCTCATGCTGCAGTAGTTAGTGGTTGTCGATGGTGTTGCTGAGGACTGTTGTCAGTGTCAAGGTCTTTTTGTTTACTTTCGATCGGTCGCGTTTCCACTTCACCCCCCTTCCCATGGAAGGTTTGGACCCTCCCGCACTCCCGCCCGATAAGACCCTTATCGGCGACAAGACACACCGCGAGTTTCCCGCAAGCGCGACTGTCAATCTGTGATTGCCCCGGCCCATTCAGCCCCATGAGCTTCTGGCGCGCTAAGCCGGATTTGGACTCGACCAAAACATTGGGTTCGCAATGCAATTCAAATCCAGGTCCATCAACACCACTACACATCCATTCAGCTTTTGTGTGCTTTCCACTTTGTGCTTTCCTCCCCCTTCTTCCCAAGCAACTACCTTACCGCACTCATCCACGACATTCCGAACTCGATGATCAGCTAGCATTTCTCTTCTCTTCCATAGCGACACTCTTGCGCGGGTCGCGATCTACCCCTCACAATGGCGACGATGCGAGGAACGCGTGTGCCTATTGGCTCCGCATCATGGGTCAACGAAGAACGAACTACAGCCCTTAGCATTGTTCAGGCAGAGGCAGAGGAGTTCTCTTTTGCCGCGAGAAACGAATTTGACTGGCTTAATGAGCATATGGCTGGGGTCTTCAACGAGAACGAAATGTATGGTGACCCCTGGCCAACAGCTCTATGCCGACTGCTAATTATCTTGACAGCAATGTCGCCGAGATATTCAAGACGCCTGGAAAGCTTCGAAGCAAAACGCCTCGAACGGCGCGTAAGATCGACAATGGCGAGCCTCGCATCGTGAGTATCCTCGTCCCACGCGCGCCAATATTCGCTAACAAGGCGCAGCCGCTATCAGATGTGTTCTCTTCAACTCCCAACGGCGCCCCGAACACTTTCACACAACATATTACTCGTGCTACTCCCAATATCAACCCTGGGCCATCAACATCATCGCCTTTGATCAATAGGAATATTTCGCCTTTCAAAGCTGCCCCCTCCCCTAGGCCAGTTTCGAAACAGCCCGTTGCACTAGCCGATTCCGGATACTATGGCAGCCAGGATGTCGACAATGTGGACAACGAAGAAGACGACGATGACATGGACGTCGACCTCATCGAAGAGGAGACCCAGATTGGCGAGCCACGATCTAGCCCCCCAAAGACGGCTGGACGAACCGGCCATGTCGCTTTCGAAACGATCGAGCAGAACGCACCTCAGAGCCCCACTGAAACACGTACTATGCGCTCCCCTGAAGCAACTTTCCAGACTGCCAAGGAGGAACAGACTACACGGGTTATGCAAGATGTTACCGTGGAAGCCCCATCTCCAGCCTCCTCAGCCTCTCCCAGTCCGGCCAAGGAAGCTAGGACGCCCTCACCTCCTCCTGTGTCACCCAAGCCTCATTACGCGATAAAGAGCGCGTCGCCCAACAACATTTCACCTCAGAAGCGCTCCCCAGCAAAGCAGTCTTCGCCGCGATCCTCTCCTATGCTTGGAGCTGCACCATCTCCCTTGCCCGAGGCTTCGCCTGCTGCCGAATCACAGGATGATGTGGATGTCCACATGGATGACGATACACGATCACCATCCGACGACGAATCGAGCCCGATCCGCCCAGTCAGGAAGAGTAGCCTCAACTTTGCTTCACTTCCTGCCAGAGAGCCTCTGAAGAACAAGAGCATCGGGGCTCGTGTTTCTAGGACCAGCCATTTGGACATGAATCGTCAGAGTTACTACGGCAGGCAAACGGGAGGAAAGAGTCTGGGTAACAATGTGGAGATACTTGGAGACTCAGATGACGAGGAAGGCAACGATGACGGAATGAGCATTGATGACTCAGCTGAAGAGACAAAGGAAGCAGACAACTTCGCTTCTAACCACAACAAAACATATACGCAACGACTACAAGACCAAATTAACTTACTCGGTAAATCCCAACCGAACGCAAGCCGGCCTTCGAAATCGATCCCTAGCTCAGCGGTTGCGCAACAGCTTGCGCAGACGACTGCGGCTCAGTCAGTTCCAGATGTCAAGGTCGCAACACCCGCGAAGAAGTCTACGGCACCGCCGACTCCTGGAGCGTTCCCGGAAGATGATGAAGAAGAAGAAGACGAAGTGGAAGAAGATGACTGGATTGCGCCTCCCGTACCCGCGAAAGATACGCCCGTGGCTAGTCCGCGACCGCATTTACCTAAGAGTTACACTGCGGACGTCATGGAAGGCATCGATGGGGCAGACACCATCAGCGGTCCTGAGTTCGCTTTGCCTAAGCAGCGACAGTCTCCTGGTCGCTCGGGCTCCCCTAAGCGGGCACCTGTCATCCCTGAGCGTACTACCAGTGTCTTTGGGCATAGCAAATCTGCCTCCGTTTCTGTCTTGCCCGATCTCTCCAAGGATAAAATGGTTGAAGACCTGTCCCCAGCCAAGAAGCACATTTCAGTTTCCAACCCTCTTTCAGCTGTGCCAGAGGACGGACGTCCGGAGACTCCCCAATCGCCTACGCGGAGCTTCCGGGATAGTCCACTGAAGCAGGTCAAGAATAAGCTGTCTTCAATTCTGAAGAGCTCCAAAGGTCTTCTTGCGAGCAGTGCGGCCATCAGTGCCGAGGGAAAATCTTCGCTGATGTCACCTTCCACCACTCGATTTGGCATCAATCCTGGCCCGTCTACGGACTCAATTGTTCCCCAGTCAGTCACTGCGGAGCCATTGTATCCTGATCTTTCCAAACGCATGGCAGCCGATGCCCAAACACTGTCCAGTGTGGGAAGCCCCGAGAAACCTGTTGCGCGGAGAACGCGGGCTTCTGTGGAGAAGGAGAAGGAAGACAAGCGAAAAGAGAAAGAGGTCAAGTTGATGGCTGATCAGATGAGCAAGCTTGACAAGGCTCGTGCAGATGAGCGGGAAAAGGCCCGGACTTTCAGCAAAGAACAGGAAAAGATTGCTGCTATGGAGAAGAAGATTGCTGCTCAGAAGGAGAAGGAACCTGAACAGGAGCAGATCAAGGAGGTTGAACGACCTGCTCGGACGCCGGCCCCGAAGGAAGCACCCAAGCCCACGAGAACTAGCCCTCGCAAGGCGAAGGCTCAGGCTGAGGCTGATGCTTCTGTCCAGGCTTCACAACCAGAGAAGCTCGACGTAGAAATGGCTGAAGCGCCAACCCCAAGGCCGCCGCCGTCCGCTCCTCGTTCTGTTGGCCCGAGCCAGACGGCCAGGCAGCGGGAACTCCGGCGTCCGATGAAACCGACCAAGGAAGCACCCAGCAAGATGAAGCAAGCACCTACCGTGATTCGCGTTAACACCGGCTCGCAACACTCGCAATTCCATCCCTCTAACAGCACATTGTCGTCAGGCCTGCAAGAGACCCTGGGCGCATCGGTCAAGTCCAAGTCGAGTCAACCAGGCTCACACAGCAAGCAGTCTCTAGCGAGTATGAAGAGTTCTGTTTCGTCCAATGGCCGACCAAAAGCACTCGAGCTTGCTGCGAAGCGAAAGGAACAAGAAGAGCGGGAAGCTCAAAGAAAGAAAGACGCTAAGCTCGAACTTGAACGCAAACGCGCTGCTATTCAAGAAGAGGAGCGCAAGCAGGAACTCCAAAGGCGACAGGAGGCAGAAAGACACAGAGAGAGGGAGAGGGAGCAAGCTGAGGCGAAGAAGAGCGCACAGAGACAGGCCGCGATTGAACGTGCCAAGCAGACGCGAGCACCGCCACCTGCTGTGCGCTCTCAGCCTAATGGTCCCCCCGACTATACCGCCAGTCAACGTTCCGATGGCCAGCCTCCTCGGCCTCCGTCCCGGATGAACTCGACTGCCCATCGGTCTCAAGAGGATCGACCGGTCAACGCTGTTCTCTCAACCGCTTCGAAGCCAGGCTCGAAGCGTCCCCTGCCACAAGATAGCAGGGAGGACACCGGTTCGCGCAATCCTCCTACACGCAACGGGCAATCATACCAAACCAAGGAAGCCAAGCGTCGTCGTACCAGCGATGACTTTGCTGATGAGCTTGACATGGACATTCAACCACCCAACATCAAGGGCCCTCCTGTTCGCCCTCCGTCAGTTGGTTTCAAGAAGGTTAGTCACATAATGCCGATTGCAAGCGACGGGACCTTTACTAACGTTGATCATCAGGATATGCCTACCAAGTCGATGTACGGCTACACCAACGCACCCCCGAGTGCGTCCAGGGACTTGTTCAAGTCCACCGTCACCGCCCAACACCACAGCACAATTAAGTCAGCGAAGCAAGTGGATATGAATCAATTTGCTCAGGGACACATTCCATTTGCGCCTAATCCAAACCCTGCCGGCCCGGCCCACAAGACACCGGCGCGACCCATGGGTGCTGCAAGCACCAAGTCTACTGCGAAGGCCACAAGATCGTCGCCTCGGTTCCAAGATGGCGAAAAGATTGAGCTGCCCGAAATTGACACAGACGAGGATGAAGATGATGATGACTCCCACTTTGGCGTCGCCCCTTGGGCTGATTCACCTGATCTGAGACGCGCTCTCATGCGACAGGAAACCATGAACCCCGAAGGCATCTTTGGGCCTCCGCGTGCCCTCAACATGGAAGAAGTGTTCAGCAATAAGGAAAGATGGCACAAGTTCCGTGCGCGCACGTCCAGTGCCAATTGGAGTGGATCGGATCGTCTAACAGAAGACGAGATCCGGAAGGATCTTGCAGCTCGCGACAAGCTGCGCAGAGAGGGTGGTTGGTCCTATGAGATGAGCAAGGACTTGATGTGAGAGTCGTCGCAGGCTTGGCGTTGGTTTCGGTGGTTGGGTGACAACTGTGTTGGTTACACATGCGAACGAGCTCACGAAGGGACATATTGAAGCAGATCATACGGCTGCTCAGATGGCAAAGCAAAACCTGGTGTATTCTTCAGTCTTGCAAGGAAGCAAGAAACTTTTATTGCGGGCGTTAGGCAGCATAAGGCATACAATTATGACCGTGTTAATATTCAGCAAAATGACGGTTTCGCATGGACTTGAAAGCTACATACAATTTCACGGGACGACAGTTGCGTGCTGAATATGATTTCCAGCTTTCATCTTTCATCCGATTGCAAGGATTAGAGGCGGGTGGTCTTGGGCCGGGGTCGTGTCATCCTCGTCGGCAGGGCAACTGGCCCCGGACGCTAAGACCCCACCAGCCAGGATTCGACGCGGTCGAGTGTAGTTTAACGCGCCAGACCCTTGTCACTCTCCAAATTTCCCGACAGTAACCTCCAACAGTCATCAGCAGCTGCCAAAGCTTCCACCATTTTCTTGACTCGGACTCGCGAAACGAAGCTTTCTTTGTCCTGCATCGGCGATTACTTCGAGAATGGGTGCTAACGACAGCACTGGGAGCCGCAAGCGCCCTCGTGCTATACCCGCAAAACAAGATCAGAGTATTCCATCGACCTCCAAGAAACGGAAGCTAGACGCCAATGGCAATCCTATTGCTGCTTCTTCTCCGACAACACCCAAGACTACTCCCGCAGCCAATTCCTCGGCTGTTAAAAAGTCTGTTCGCAGTAAAATCACGTCTTCACCCATCTCAGCCTACGATGTGCCAGACTCCCCTGAAGACAACCCGCCGCGTCGAATCCGCAATGTCAGGAGCGTTGATAGACCGACTGCCAAAGTTCCGATTCCCCCTCGACGCAATGTCGGCGTCGACATTTATGACATTCCCTGCTCCGACGACGAGTTGCATTCGAGTCCGAAGGAGCTGAATTCGCAGAAGACGAGCCCCACCAAGCGAAAGAGCAGCGCCGTGGTCGACGAAGAGGTGAACGAGGTCAATGGAGAGAAACCGACCGAGAATCCGCTACCTCGAAAGGGGAAGAGCTACAAAGTGATGGGTCAGGATGAGAAGGTTGCTACGACAGAGGAGTCTGTTTCGCAGATACGATCAAGTGGACGTCGTAGAACTCTGACAGCGAAAGCTCTCGAGCATGTGGAAAAAGCTGCGAGTCGCTCTGCCACTCCGACTTCTCACGCGAGATCTTCTGCCGCTGTGAATGACGCTCCAGAGTCCAAGAAGGCTACGGGGAAGACAAATCGCAATGTGTCCATGCCTCTAAAAGGCATTTTGACGCCGTCCAAACGGGACGGTACGCCGAGGAGGAGTAAGAGCGTAGCGTTTGACTCTGCCAGTGCTTTGGCTCAAGAGGAGGTATTTTTCGAAGATCTTCCAACCAAGTCTGGAGGGAGCCGGAAACCATCACAGAAGGTGGTCGCGGCGAAAGCAGCAGTGGCGAAGACAGCGAGGTCACGAAAGGCGCCTCCAAAGGTCATAGATGAGGAACCACAGGAGGAAGAAGAGGTGGCACCGGAAGTCGAGACACAAGAAGAAGAAGAAACGGAAGCGGAAGAGTCAGAGGCGGCGGAAGAGGAAGACGATGACGTTTGTTCGATATGCACAAAGCCCGATTCCAGGCCTGGAAACAGAATTCTGTTCTGTGACGGTTGCGATAAGGCGTTCCATCAGAGATGCTACAATGTCCCCAAGGTTCCCCGGGGAGACTGGTACTGCAACGACTGTGTTGGACAGAAGCAGTCGCGAGCAGTGGCTGCAGACGAGGCGGTGAAGACTCCCAATTTTGCGAAACATCTGAGCAATCTGCAGAGAGTGCTATTGGACCGGTGTACTGGTCGCCGACGTATCAAGTTGATTGACCAGGATGATGCCTACGAAAAGGCACATCAGCTGGTAGAGCAGACCGTACTGGCTGGGGAGGGCAACTCTATGCTCGTAATAGGAGCGAGGGGTTGCGGCAAGACTACGGTAAGTCACCAAGTTTTTGGCCCTGCGCCGGTGCTATTCTAATGTAAAGCAGCTCCTCGAGAGCATAGTCGACGATTTGTCTTTGCAGCATAAGAAGGAATTTCACGTCGTGAGACTGAACGGATTCATTCACACCGACGATAAGCTGGCTCTTAAGGAGATTTGGCGGCAGTTGGGCAAAGAGATGGAGGCGGAGGACGAGGCCAATGCTCGGGTTTGTACCCAACACTTTGACAAACTAGTGAAGAAGCAACTGACAGTGTTGCAGTCAAATTATGCCGACACAATGGCTTCGCTACTAGCCCTGCTATCTCACCCGTCAGAAATGACGCAGGCGGAGGAGGGAGTGACCTCACAAGCGGTTATCTTCATCATTGATGAGTTTGACATGTTTGCAGCACATCCGCGCCAAACGCTGCTTTATAATCTGTTTGATATTGCACAGGCACGAAAAGCCCCCATCGCGGTGCTGGGCTGCACGACGCGGATGGACGTAGTAGAAATGCTGGAAAAGCGCGTCAAGAGTCGATTCAGCCACCGGTATGTCTACTTGTCGCTTCCGAAGAGCTTGCCAGCGTATTGGAAAGTTTGCAAGCAGGGCCTTTGCGTAGACGATGAGGACATGGACGTCGAGAGCATAGATGTTAGTGTTGATGGACACGAAGCTTTCCACGCAAATTGGAAGGCTATGATTGAGGTATGTTTCCAGCACAGATTACAAAAGGGAGATTGGCTACTAATTCACCTTACGCCAGGTCCTATACAAAGAGAAGGGATTCCAAAGTCTTTTGCAATACCACTACGCGACATCAAAATCCGTCGCGGCATTCCTATCAGCGTGTATCCTTCCCCTCTCCGCACTCTCGCCTACATCACTGGACCTCATCATTCCACCGTCGTCAAACGGCCCAGTCATCTCCCTCACGCCACCAAACTCCAAACTCCACATTTTGTCGTCGCTCTCGGAATTGGACCTGGGCCTTCTCATCGCAGCAGCACGGCTGGACATCGTCGCACACACAGACACGGTCAACTTTGCGATGGCGTACGACGAGTACGGCTCGCTGATGGGCCGGCAACGCGTACAGTCAGCCAGCTCGGGCTTGCTGGCCCTGGGCGGCGGCGTGCGGGTGTGGGGCCGTGGTGTGGCTGGCTTGGCATGGGAGAGGCTTGTCGCTTTGGGGCTGCTGGTGCCGGCGGGCCTCGGGACAGGCCGGGCTTCGGGGTACGGCGGGTTGGAGGGCAAGATGTGGAAGGTGGACATGGCGCTCGAGGAGATTCCGACGGGTTTGAGGTTGAATAACGTGTTGGCACGGTGGTGCAAGGAAATATGAGCATGCGCATCACGCTTCGATGGGCCCGGGATCCCATTTCCGAGGCACCAGTTATGACCAAGGCAATACACCAATATCAGCCATTACGTGCCTGTACATTTTCATCTCTTGAGAATCTGGAATAGTGATAGTCAGAGGCGAGGGAACTGAAACGAAAGCTCAACGTCTGTTGGCGGTCTCATTACCACAACTATCCAGGCTTGGCGCCACATGATTTAACGTGATATCAAGGTTCGCTAGGGAGACGATCCGGCCCAGCGCCCGGTCTACACTACTTCGTCCCGAGCTCCTGGTTGCTTGTTTGGAATCAAGCTATGCAGTCTGCTTACTGTAGGAGGCAGGTAGGACGTCAGTGGGCAGTGAATTTTTGATTTGCTTTTTTTTTTTTTTTTTTTCCCTTGCGGTGGTTTACTGATTAGTGATCATGAGAATGGTGTCTAGAATAGCGTCAGATGCCACAACTTTGACCCAGGTGATTGGAGACTGTAGAGACTATTCAAGGTACCATGACGAAGCGGACCCTTGATTTTGGTTTGCTGTCAATAGCCGAAAGTCTAATTGGATAATGGCATGCTGGCATCGGCAATTCATCATGTAACGGCCGTATCGACGTCGGACGCGGGGAAAGGTTAATAAGGCACTCGGTGTATCCCTTTCTAGCGTTTGTAAATAGAAGACATTCTGGAGATGGTGTCAGGTCTATGTTCCGGGGTATCGGGCAGGGTCAAGAAAGGAAAGACTGGGTATATGCAGGGCATGATGCTGGCAATGGGGACATTGCAGCCTGCATCAGCATATCGCGGACAGTGGATAGAGTACATGATGTCACGACATTGGCAGAGAGAGACCTGAACAAGATGGAGAATGATCCCCTTTCGGCCGGGATTTGGGCGATCGTCAAGAGAAAGTAGAGAGGGGGCGGCTAAGGTAGGGCCAGGGGTTGCGGTGATCTGGCGGGATTTTCGCGGTCGGGAGGAGTTGTCGTGAAACCTTTGATCACCAGCGTGGTAGGTGCATTTGTGTGGTTTTGCTGGGGGTCAGTCAGGAAGAAAAGCCACCGCTTCAGACATTAAACATGATGTCGGACAGCAGGATGGGGATAATCAAATGCGGTTAGCTCTCAGTCTGTTTGTGGACTCATGTATGTAAGAAGACGGAAGTATCAGCAGTAACCCAAGGTGCATTGGGGATCTGTTTATTACTAAGAGCGCTTAGCGCTGGCGGCCGCCCAGGCAAGGTAAGGATTTAACGACGTTGAGTGACGTTCCTTCGGGCGGCCGCGTGCCAAGAGGTGTAAGCCCGCCATCCCCAAAAGGGGTTTTTTTTCCCCCTACAACTTCTCAAGTATTTATTTGTATGCCAGCTACCGACGCCTGGACATCATTGGACACTTTCCGAGTGAGCAGAGCCAAGCTTTTCCGTCGAGGCACCCGTACCCAGATGTTCAAAGGTCGAGGGGAAAAAAAGAGGCGTTTTCCTAGAATCCCAATGTTCTCGTATTCGCTCGCGGTGGGAGAGAGAGAGAGAGAACGAAGCTTGCAACGCGCGTACCTAGTCGACGGTGTGTACCTCACCGTGTATCGGCACCACGGACGTCGGTCGTTGCGGAAAGGTGCTGCCGCTCGGGACGTCTTAGTCTGAATCTCGCATCGGCCCAATGGCAGCTCCCGTCTCGTTACTTTCAGGCAAGAGAGGCCCGCAGGGTATCCCAAATTCTGGGACCCGGCGGCCGCCCGCCGCCACGTTACGGCGGGTTGAATTCCGCACACGGGGGACCGTCGCGTCCAATATTGTGGGTATCTCTTTTCTTTGGGTTTGGAGTGTCTGGTTCTGGGCTGAGCGCCAGGTGCCACTATCATCTATCATCTGTCATCTGTCATCGATCCGAGGTAGCCATGTGCCGAGAAAACTAGTCTTGTCCATCTTGGGGTTTTGAGCCTCCCCAGGTCCAACCAATGTTCTTTTGAAAACATCAGTGGGACACGCGCATGATCTGTTTGTCTGGGGTCCCGGGCTTCAGCTGATGGGACGACAGAAAGACAAGACGTCCGAGCCGAGCAAGCGGCACCTCGTTCCCGCAGCAGCCTTGGTTTTAGTGGTAGCACAAAACGTCCACCATCCACCGTTCACCGTCCACGGTTGCTCCCCTTTGATGCGTGGCGGCGGCCGCCCATGCTTCCTCCCCATGTCGTCCATCCCCCGACGCGTCAAGTAGGTACGTACGGAGGGAGTGCAGAACAAGGTACGAATATCTCAATTAAGCTAAGGTGAGGGAAGGTCTCTGCATAGGCCTGGGTGTTTTTTTTTCCTTTCCAATTTGTGATTCCTCCGAAGCTGGAACTGGGAATTTGACCGCATCCTTTGAGGCATGGACTCCAAGTATTAGACTGGCATCGGTTCCTTCTTACCCGCTCTTCGCCGCTTCTTTCATTGGCCTTTTTTCGTCTCTCTGTCCCTGTTCTTGGTCAATGGCCGGCGGTTTGCCGTCTACCCATCCGTATCCATACCTTGAGCTCATCCCGGGTCTATTTTTGTTTCCCTCAAAACTCCCACGATTGACTCTCGAAACGCATCACTCCCCTCCCCCACCTACAAAATACTCCATACCCCCTTCTTGTTTCTTCTCACTGCCTTCCTCACTTCAACCCTGCCCGCTCTTCACGGAATCCTTGTCCTTCTCCCCCCTGCCCTGGCTTTTGCCCGGCTCCAATCCTTTCCGGCAGGGATCCCAGCTGAAGGGGCACACAATCGGGCTTCACCGTGCTACCAACGCCCACCACCGCCCACCACCAGAGCTACGCCTCGCAGAGCCCATCTCACCCGGCCGTCCTCTGCGCCTCCGTCCTCCGTCTCCGTGCCAAGCTGGCACTGCCTCCGAACCACAACGCATCGCTCCTTTCCCACCGCATCACCTGGGTTTTGCAGGCCCCCTTTCAATAACTCTCGGCTTCCAACTACCGTCTACCGCAACTCGGCTTTCTCTAATTGAATTTCAACCCAAATTCCCGGGACTTTTTTGCCTGCCTGCTCAACCGAATCCGATTCCACCAAACTCATTCCATTTCTTGTTCCATCCCATTCCCAGTGCGACAATAGAGCTGCCTTTTCAACCTAAACCTTACCAACCTTAAACTCACCTCGCAACTTCAATCCTGCTCCCTCGTCTCTAGGTACAGACTCTGCACATGGGGTCGCTTATGCGCATTTAGACAGAGACTCCTTCCGCCCGCAACCCATCTCTCTAGGCCAACCATGTCAAAACGCACAACCTTTACCACAATTTCCCCTCTACCCCCCGGCATCACCCGCGATGCCGTCCTCGACTTCCTGCACAATCATATTGAGATGATTGACCTGAATCCTCTCATCAAGGAGCGTCACCTCATCAGCGCCCCACCCAACGCGCCCCCGGAAGAGCACGCCTGCACCTGGTACTCCCTGACCGACGAAATCTCCTACCTACCTGGCGGGCTGGCCACAGGCAACGTCAGCTACAACTGCTGCTTCCACGACCTTCCCACCGGCCTACAGACCCACTGCTACGCACCCATGGGCCTCGAGATCCGGGACAAGTGGACCGTCGCCGGCTCCTTGCCCGGGGAACCCTTCGAACCCGTCGAGCTCGGCATCGGCGCCCCACTCGCCGGCCTCTACATCCGCGAAGATGTCGACATGCGCTGCAACGTCTTCGCCACATCCTTTGTAAAGAAGACACTGAAAAAGAGCCACAGTCTACTGGTTGACCGCCTCAAGTCCAAGGTCCATCGCGCCGTTGTCGCCGCCGCGCATCAACGGCATGGCAGTCAAAACTCACTATCAGGGTCCGTCAGGTCCGTCAGGTCCGGCTCCAGCGGAAACAGCGCATCGCAGCCACTGCCGCAGCAACAATCGTACCCAAATCCGGCTTACATGAACAATGCCCTCGGCAACCAGATCAGTATCCCATATAGACCTTCCTACGCCAATCCCGCACTAGCACCAACATCAGCCAGTGACGGCTCTCAAAACGCTTACCCGGAACCTCTTCGGGTCCGCCGCACTCCCCAAAGCTCGGCGTCTTATCATCAGAAGCCATCATGGCCAGATATCAAGTCGCAATCGTCCACCGCCCTCACCAATGGCTTCGCACACACCAACTACCCAGGCTTGGGCGGCAACCCGTACGACGCTAAGCCCTTGCCTCCGTCGCCATACGCGGGAGGGAAATCCGGCGGAAGCGACGCCAGTCGGCGCAATGGGTGTCAGCAGAACAGTGGCGCAACTCTGCAGGGGCCCTTTGTTGCTGAGTTGGAGTGAGATGTGGCTTTGTTTTGTGTGTGCCTTTGTGTACCAGTCACTCAGGTTGGTTTACCGTCGTCGGCCTAAGCCTTTTTGTGTTAGTCATACAACTCGATACCCCAAATATTTCAATTCAGTCAAACATTTATTACGTATCCTTCGTCCTCGTGTGAGATCTAGGCGTGTTTTTATCAAGGGTGTGGCGCAGGTTCTCTTATGTGGTTGCATTCATGTGCCCGGACTAAAACTCGCTTCCTGTCCAGGGGGACGAGGCTGACGTCTTCTCATCTACGATTAAAAATCCATCATCATATACGCTAAAACATCCTTGACAGACGATGTGTGTATTGCAATATCAGCTAACAACGTCATATTCGCTATATGCCGCAGATCCTCCTTAGTAGGATCATCAAATCACCCGGCAACCTTCTCAGCAAACTAATCATATCCTCGTGAGGCCGCTGCTGCTGATTCTGCTGCTGCTGCTACTGCTGCTACTGCTGCTGCATCTTCTTCCTCGGCGTCGCCGTATAATAGCGGTCCCCGTCTAAACGCTGCATACCATACCGCTTCGTGACGAGCGTAGACCAAACCTCCATCCCAACGATCCACGAAACGCAACCCTCGCGCAGGATCCCGAGGTGCGCGTTGTCCACTTCGTCCTCCAGCGTCGGCAAATTCTCACATAGCTCGACGAACCTGCCCACCAAAACCCTCGTCTCCTCGCCGAGCCGGTTCATGGCCTCCTGCACGCTGCCGGGCCCCGGCGCCTCCTTCTCCTCCTCCTCCATGAGCACCCTCACACCGTTATGCCCGTCCTCGCCCCGCGCCTGCTCTTTATCGAAGCTGTAGATATCGTTCTGGTTGATGATGATATCGACACAGAGACGCAGCATCGCGTCAACGGCGGGGATCGCGAAGAAGCCCGGCCGTACCGCGCGGTCGATGAGGAGCAGGGCCATGCCCGGAAGAACGCCAATGGTTCGGCGCCGTACGGCCATGTACTCTGCCCGGCACGGGACGCAGGGTCTCCTCCGAAGCGCCACCTCGTCACCGACGCCGTCGAGGTAGTCTGCGAAGCTGTCGACGAAGAAGGCCCAGGACTCGGCTGTGCCGCCTACAGAGTCGCTGCGGTACCGCGATGCAATGTCCGCTGCCATGCGTATGCCGACCCAGACGTCCTTGTCGGTCCCCGCGCCGTCTTCGTCCCGAGGAGGAAGAGGAGGATAATCAGGGTCCCGGAAAGCGCGTACCAGGGCGGCAGATTGCCTCCGCACGTTGGCCTCTCCCTCCTCGTTACCCTCGATGGTGTCTGTGAACTCATCAATGACGAAGAAGTGGAGCATGACCAGCGCCGCGAGGAGGGTATGTTTTGCGTCTTGGTGGGCGTAGATGAGGCAGGCAATGTCGGGGAAGTCGCCGGCGATGATTTTGGAGATGAAGGTGTTGCTGATTCCGCTGCCCCCGCCGTTGTCGCCGTCGCCGTCGTTGCTGATGTCGTTGCGGTGGTAGCTGCGCAGCCAACGTTCGGCTTCTGCTTTGATGCTTTCGGATTGGGCGTGTCGTCGCGGGGGGTAGGGAGAGGGCCAGCTCGGCTTTGTGCGCCAGTCGGCTAGGAAGTCTGGGATTTTGATTCTGGTTTCCGGGTCGGTTGTCTTCTCATCGATGGCTTTTTGTTCTGCGTTCACGGGCTGGAGGGTTGATACTGGATCCTGGGCTGCGATGGTCTTTGAAATACCAGATTCGATGCTGGTTCCAGACGGAAGCCCAGATGCTGATATCTCTGGGCTCTTGAAGCGAGGGAAGAATGCCATGACAAGAGGAGGAAAGGAAATGGGTCGAGGGGAGAATAGTAGAAGAACACAGCCTCAGAGTTGACCCGTAGTTGTTTGGAATAATGTCTTTTTAACCTCGCCAGAGCTTAGCTGAGAGGTAGCAGGATTTCAGTCGAGAGAACAAGGAGGAAGACTTGACTTGGATAATAAAGAATGATACCAGGTCACATCATACTCGTCTGTCCTAAGGCTTTTATAGCTGGCGTATCATGAAAGTTATTGCCTCATCAGGAGGAGATGGAGAGTCTCGTTCCCAACCTTGCCAAATCCCACTTTGAAAATAGGCCCCCAAAACATCCAAAAACAAGAAGATCAATGTCGTCAGTCAAGACTAGGCCATCGCCGTAGCATAGCGGACCCCCACGCAGCTCAGCCCTATCTTCCCTGGCCACATACGTCTGTTGGTTCGAGAACGCTGACAGGGCGATGCATTGATAACCCCCAAGTCGAAGGGCTGAACTCGGCCTAGTTGAGGAATCCAGGCCGGTACAGTGACCTTCGGACCCGAGCCGGCGGCCCCCATCTCTGTGCCTCGGGCAGCGGCGCGGTTGAGGTTTCTCACACATACGATCCAGGTTCGAGTGTTCCAGAGACTCAGAGTGGATCCCACTGGAGAAAAAAAACATGCAACACCAGGCATTCGCCGGTCGTCTCCGACCCGACTACTACTCTGGCCCTCACTGGGTTATCGATGGGAGAGCGGACGGGATCCCGAGTTCTCCAGTGGGTGTGGTCGCATGTGTCTGTTGGTCGGGATTGTGCTGGCTATCACGGCATCGTTTGGCGGCTCGGGCAACACCCGTTATCAGGACTCCGGCATCGACATTCCGGGCTTAGGGCGATTAGTCACGATGGCTACGCCTCAGTTTTGGGGTCTGAAAGTTGGGAGGTGGAGAACTTATTTTTCCACTTCTAGATATAACAGGTTTCTTGTTACTCAACTCGGCATCATCTTACTCCTTGTTCCTTGTCCTGCTGCCTGCTGACTATTGCGCCCTAGATCCGCGGCCTTACACGGGGCGTCGTTCAAGATCGGTCCGGAAAAGCGGGACCGGACGGGCGGGCGTCTTGCAAAAGTTGCATCCAGGTAACCAGCAGTAGAGGACGTCTCGAAAGCCTGCAGACACAACAAAATTATCCAGTGTTGTGGGTCCCCCTTCCACGGTGGACCAAGATGAAGAATTCTGCAATCAAGATTACAGACTCAGTCATACTTGACTCATCATCTCGCGGGTGAATGCAAACACGGTAAATGTTAGTAACGACATCCTCCACAGTCCAGGACCTGAGAAAGTTCATGGGCAACTATGATCAGCAAGAGCTGCTGTAAGGTCATACGCGTTCATACCTAGAGCGTACCAGGGCCGAAGATCTCATCGTGAAATCCCCTGATGAGCGCACTTGCTCAAAAAAGACGTCGCGCCTAGAATACTACATAAAGATGGTACCTACTACGGCACGAGGGAAAAGATGAATTGTCCATGGCATGATGTAGGACAATGAGCCAACACACTTATTCACCAGTAAAGGCTAGAACCGTATCCCTCGGTCATCAACTACAACGGACGCTGCTCGTCGGAAGGGGCACCACTTTTGGTCACTTTGTATTCTTCAACCTCAGTCTGACTTGGTCGTGGTGAACATGGTAAATATTTTTTAACCTGCTCACGAGATTCGGCTTTTGAGACTTCACGCAAATTAGCGAGGAGCACAAGGACAGGTTTTCTGGTGACATCAACCACTCCCTTCGAGCATCCAATTCAGGCAACGCCTTCTGGTCCTGGTGTCAACATGCGTGATTCCTGGGTAGGACCTCACAAAACTGGACGCCTGATACTTTCCTAATTCGCATGGATCACTTAGAGATGCTTGTTACAGAACCGGATGTTACTTGAGATGCCCCATAGGTCGGCCTCGGCCAAGAGATGGTTACTTCTTCGAAAAATGATAAAGAAATTTATCCCTGTGAGGTCTGGGACGCTCGTCTCATGCGGTTCATCAGAAAAATTCTAATCGAAATCTGTTCTTCGATCTGAAAATATGCCCATCTCGAGACTAGTTCATCCCAGAACTGGGGCCAGATGCGGGGATAGAGGAGTTCCTGAAGCGGGAAAAGAAGCCTATGTTGAAGATCGATATCTTTAGGGTCCAGACAGGTAATCAATGCAATGCAAGGACAGTCACCGAGTGGAAAGTTTTCAAGGGCTTGTTCAACTGTGATATCTACAACCACCAGCGTCAGGGTACGCGATGAGCGAACTGGAGATATGAAGATGCTAGGAAGCGAAATCTGATTAGCACCTGGTTTTCGACGAGCGAAATTGCCGCTGACTTGTTATTCTCAGGTAAAAAATGTGATTAGTCCACTAAAATGTGCCAAGGCCATCTCGTTGCGAAGTTCTGGGAACATGTTTTGAGACCTCCTTCTCGTGGCACTGACAAGGGTGTCGATGTTGAATGGGCCTGGCTCTGAAGCTATCACCGCTAGCTGGCGCTTTCCATACGACCTGGCGGCCTTGGGAGAGCCACCACAAGCGGAATAGTGCGACTAGTCATCTCGGTAGTCCTAAATGTGCCGTTGATTGTGCCGTTCATCGGCCAAATAGGACGTTTTCTGCCGAGCCAGGGGAACGGCTGCAATCTTTGCTTCCGCGCGCACTAATATGCATGCCCAGGTGCCGTGCAGGTTCGCCGGCGAGGAGCAATACCCATGTACATATCCCTAGCTACCGGTGTAGTGGTAATGAGGCTGTGCCGGATTCAAAGGCCAGTCCCAGTTTTATTAATCCCCGGGCGCGCAAGCCCGGGTCTGACCAGTTGCGTGCGGTGACGCCGGCCCGGAAAAGCGGGGACTGGCCGTTGGCTCTCCGGCCGCCGACCTCAACGCTCATTATGGGAGAACTTAATAGTCTCGATCCTTTTCCATTGGTGAATTGTAAACTCAAAATGAATGCGGCAGTAAAACTCTGAGAAGTAAGGCTAATTCGCCTGCTTCAATTGAATTCTGTATCCCGTTCAAGAATTGTTCCCAAACCCCAAACACCCAATCATCACTTACCTCGTACTCGTTGGTCATCACAATCACTCGCTGATTGAATGCGGAAGAGAAGTCACCAGCAGATGAGAAAGTCTAGCTCCTGTTAGACCTGTTGAAGGACATAGATCTCTCGGATAATGGGATCCAGTTTCTTAATATTTTAGCCTCGATATTCGGGCGGCCACGTGGGAAACCGCGTCAGAGGATGCATCTCACTTGGACGCTCTGTGTTCCCCTCTAGAACAATTCTTAGAGATAGAACACTACTTCTATAACATGTGAGGTCTTATTACAGACTTTGCTGCCAGTGCCGACGTGACAAGCGACATGCAAGATCATCTCATCAACGCCGTTCTAGCATTGCAATGATTCGCAAAAGGTGAATGCGTGTTTGGAAAGATTGACCATTATTTTTCATACCCGTTGAGGCTTCCCTCAGAGTTGAGTAACCGTTTACCCCCTGTTACCCATACTGGGATTCAACCACGCCAGACCTGATGGTCTAACGATGAGAGATAGACGGAACTCGGGAAACGGCGATAGAAATCTTTACCACAAAAGACGTATTACAGTGGCGCAAAATCAACAGGGTCGGAGCACTTCTTCTGGGAACCGGCGTCCGGGGGGTGATAGGGGGGGTCTTGTACGAAGGTCTGCCGATCATGTGTTTGCATCGGTGGGGATTTTAGATGGCCAGGTCCGAGGAGCTTGGGAACAGACAAGATCCCAGGCTGGTTAAGGAGTTGAGGGTGGAGGTGCTTGAGGCGTTTAAGATCATGAGGGAGGCGGAGGGGCGGATAGGACATCCCCTATAACAAAGTGACCTATGCCCAGTCTCTTACCATGAATTCGGGATACATAGCCAGTATCGAAGTTGAACTCCAGAATTACAGCATAGTTCAGGTGCACGGAAGGACAGAGCATCTGAGGAAAACCCGAAGACATTAGTGATATAGGGCCTGGAGTGTGATACCGCAGTAGTTGCCGAGTAGACGTCTCGTGACAGAAAGCGAGATCGCGAGACATCATCACCAAAATCATCGTCAGTTCGTTTCTTTTGAAGATACGCCGCATCCGAGAGCCAAGCGTGTGCAAACGTACAAGATGGACCCAGACGAATTGTGTAAATGCTAACATGTCCAGTCCCAGCGTCGACAGCAGCGTAATATTATAGAACCCACACCCCAAAAAAAAAAAAAAATCAGAAAACTTGTCTCGAAAATTCTCCGTGATTCCTGCGCAAGAAAGAAGGTGGAAAAACAAGCCAGGGTCCCGCCTTTTTTCTCTTATTATTTACCCCTCCCCCATTTTACTGCGACACGAGACACACAACGGCTATGCATTAGCATGAACCTATTAATCCCCAAGTTCTCCCGTCTCTTCGGGATACTTGTCCCACTCTTGGCTACCCCTCTCCATCTCGGGAAACTGGCACGAACGTGGACAAGGGACGGCGATTGCGTGCGCGATATTGACTAGCCGGGCTTATATCAAGTCATCTTCGTCGTCATGCTCACCCTCCAGTCCTACTTCATCCATGTGCTAGTCATTCGATTTTTGGATATGATGGCAGGCGGAGACATGAAGAGTATATTGTACAGTACAGTCGATCTATATCACAAGCAGATCCCATATTCCCCATATTCCATGTGTCCCTCCATGACTCCTAGTATGCTAGCCCGTGTTCTTCAAGCGTATACCTTTGTTCCCGAAATTGCTGTTGGTCGTGTCATCATTCCTGTATATGTAATGGACCCCTGTTGCCGTTGTTGCCTAGTTGTTCATGCGTGTCCCATCCCTCTTCTTGTTCGTTATGTTGTTTCCCACTGTATCATTATGCATCGTTGTTTCGTTGGAGTCTCTACATCATCACATCTCTATGAACCTCATTTCATCGCCCTCGTCTTCGAGGTTCTTGTAGTTGTCGTGCTGGTCGTCAAAGGTAACGTTACCGACCTCGACCGTTCGTTTCGTCGTTGACACCGAGTGTCTGGTAAAGAAAGATAGGGAAGAAAAGTGGCAAAAAAGACCCCGCGCTGGGAATCTCAGCGATAGGTATCGACCGTACGCCGAACACGAGCCGTTGAAAGACTGTCCGCGCCGAAGAGAACGCTTCCCACTTCATCGCCCTCAAGTCGAGATTTGTAGATGGGAAAGAGAATGGAAAGATGGAAGAGTGGAGGAGAGAAAATAAGAGAAAGGGGAGGTGGGGAACCTGATCAAGAGAAGAGAGAAAAAGAAGAAAAGAGAGTGCCGGTCGGATGGAATGGGAGAGACAAGCGTCAATAGTCCTCATCCATCAAACACCGATACCAAAAGAAGGCACAACAAGCAAACACCCAAAGGGCTCGCATGCTATGCCCGCCCGCGATCTGCGCCATGTCGATCTGCCCTGGGGGATGGCTCGCCTCCTCTTCCCGCCTCCGCTCCTTCTCCCGCCTCCGCTCCTCGTCCGCGAATCTCACACGGCTATACGGGTCCTGCGATGACGGGGCGTACGTCGGCGGCGGATGCCGTATATGATGATGATGATGATGATGATGCTGCTGCTGCTGCTGCTGCTTCACCGACTCGGTGCCGGCGACGGCCGTGGCGTCCGTCTCCGCCGTCCCCGGCGCCTGCGGCGGCACCATCTCCATCATGGGGTTACGTTGCGGCTGTTGGGCGTACGGCGTCGGCGTCGGTTGACGTGGTAGCGGCGGTGGGGGCGTTGGTCCCCCTCCCTCTCCTCCGGCGCCAGCTGGAACCGAGCCTCGGACCCCTCCGCCCCCGCCCCCGTCTGAAGAAGAAGAAGAAGAATAGGACGAATAGTTGGAATAGATGGAAAAGGAGCTACGATGAGGGTGTTGTCGGCCAAGAACGCCAGAGCTGGCTCGTTCACTGGCTCGTTCACTGTTGCGGACTCGTCCGTTGTAGTTGAAGTTCCGAACAGGGCGCTCGCCGCCGTTGGTGGGAGTCGGTTCGACTCTCCCTACTTCTTGCGCAAAACCTCCTCCTATTTCTCCTACACCCTGCGGTCGCTGCTGCTGCTGCTGCTGCTGCTGCTGCTGCTGCACCTCCTGCATCTGCTGGTTGTGTTGTTTCTGCAGCTCCTGAAGGTCCTGCAGCTGCAAGGCCGAACGCTCCATATCTGGCGGGGAGTATACTTTGGAGGATAACATGTTTGAAGGGGGTATATGTGTTGCTAGGAGAGAAGGGGAATAGGTCGCCGCAGGCCTGGTAGGAGCAAACACTGGCGACAAACCCTTTTCTTGATAGGCTACGGGTACGTACGTTGGGCCGCAAAGCGAATTGGTCAAGTGACGTCGAAGGGGAAGGGGAGGGGGGGGGATGGAAATCTGTATCAAACAACCGAACTGGAGCTTTTACTGACTCGGCGCTGGATGACGCTCAGGGCAGGATGCACTCACTTCCAGTTTTCTCCGACGACGTATGACGAGCACGATGGATCTCGCACTTGTGCGGACGTTCGTGGAGCCCCGGATATCATGGATCGTGGTTGACACCAAAGAACGACGACGACGACGACGACGACGACGACGACGACGACGATGGTGGATGGTGGATAGTGACAACGCATACGCGGGTTGGTGATGGTGGCTAATACGCACACATTCACAGCTCCCGAAGCACCCGTCGACCTGAACCTGCCCGCGCCTACCGAACCGTCCCTTCCAGCCACTCCCGCCTTTCCGTCCGTCCTTTTCTCCTTTTCTCCTTTGCTGAGGCTCAGTGCCTCACTTTGTTGCCGGTAGGCGGTGCACGGTTGGAATTGGGATTACCCCCTCACCATCCCCCCTTTCGCCCCCCCTCCTCCAATCTATGAACGAAACCCAGATTGACTTTGGATTTACTTGGCTCAAGCTTTACCCTCGCAGCCTTGGCCCGCCGTTCTGAGGCGGGATTATGTTTCTTGCGGTCTCCTCGGCTGCCCCCTTTCCCAAGCAAAAAAAGGGGCGGCTGAGCCTTACCCCTACGTCATTGGGAGGAAAACTCCCCCAAAAAAAGAAAGGGTGAAGACACAAGTCCAAGCTGCATCTCAACGGTCCGACGGCTCGGCAATTTCCTCGTAGCCTAGCGCCAATGTATCAATGACACCATTCATAGTTTGACGTGCCGTTCCTCAGTTGCATTTACTGTAGGCGAGGTGGGTAGGCAGGCAGTAGCAATAGTAGTAGCAGTAGTAGTAGTAGTAGTAGTAGTAGTAGTAGTAGTAGTAGTAGTAGTAGTAGTAGTAGTAGTAGCTGTAGTATTAGCTTTAGTAGTAGCTGTAGTGGTAGTAGTAGCCGTAGCCGTAGCCGTCGTAGCCGTAGTAGCCGTAGTAGCCATAGTGGCAGTCGATTGCATCCCGTCCCGCGTGCGTGGGTAAAAGTGTATAGACGTGCCGTTGAGCCGTATTTGCACGCCTTACCTATGGCAAGTGTAAGATGATCCCGTCGACACCTGGTAGACGGGAGAGAATACGAGAAAGAAATCTTAGATCCTTGCCGCACTACGAAAAAGAACGGCAATTACAAGTCTTGCTCGCTTGATAGTCGGGAAACCAGCTCGGCAATCCAAAAATGTTTCGCGCGTCTCGGTGTTCATATCGTGTGTAAAGGCACAACGTCCCTCGTCGTCCTCTCACTCGGGAAGCGCGCAACGATGTTGGCGCGCGGCGGGGCTCTGGGGGAAATCGGGGCCGGGCGATGTCGACGATGGCCGGCCGGGCGAATCGTGAAAGGCATCGCGTGCACCGTCGGCGTCGGCGTCGGCGTCTTCGTCGCTTGTTCGGTTTCGGAATGTGGGGTGGCGTCCGCTTCGTCGAAGGGGGGGGCCAGCAGTAGCCAGCGTTACCTTGCTCAAGCTTTTGAGCCCTTGATCTTTTATTTCTTTGCCACTCCTCGAGTCATTCGCGACATGTCATCGTCGGAACTCTGCAGTGTGTTTAAAACCATGATTTGCTTTCTAAGCCCCAGATTAACTCAATGATGTCGCCGAACCGGCGATTGGGGGACTTCGGAAGGAATGCCGAAAAGTCACGGCCTCGGCCGCCCGCCTGTTCATTGGACGTGAGCAATGAAGCGGGAAAGAAAGACAGGGCTAATTGGCTGCCGTCCAACGTCGCCGACAGATGATCAACCGGCAAAACGTTTTGCAAGTCTGGCCAAGTTGACAACGCCGGTCCTGTCAAACAAAGTGTGCTTCTTTTCTGAAAGATGACCCACAGCTTGAACGCCTTGACGACTCAGTAATGGGCACTCTGTTCCCCTTAGTCTCTTCTTCCTTTTCCCTCGCGCCGCTGATACTAGCTTTCTAGCTTTCTTCTCCATGCTGGGCCCTTTTCTTCTCAACTGCCGTTGGACCCGATACGAAAAGAGTCACGTGAAATGAACCTGCGGGCAACGCTGGTCCCGGCAGAGGAGGGAAAAAGAGCGGCCACGGGCCATGCAAAGTGCGGCTATCGTCGCATTGCCCTTCGATCCGGGCCAACTCCTTGCATTCTCCACGACCCGCCGTTGCTGATCAAGCAAACCGGCCGGCGCTGGCGACCTCGTGCTTGTTCGGCAACCACATACTCACACCTTACACGTACACGGCCATACGCAAATCGAACGGCAGCTCAGAAAGAGACAGAAGGACAGACTATGACTCTCAAACGAACCCTTAGAATTCCTGGTCTTTGTCTCTCCCTCTTTGATTGGTCACCTGTAGCTTTTACAGAATAGGACGTTAGAGCAAATCCGGCACACGCGCGCCCGCGCCAGACTTCCGTTTACCTCGATTAGACGGAGAACTTCGCTGCCCGCAGCACTCGAAGCCCGGGGTATTCCCGACGCAAAAACCTTGCTTGCCATTCCCGGACCACGTCTGTGTGTATGAGGGTAGCGGGATCAGACAATCAGGCCATGGCTGCCTAGCAAGCAGATTAGACGGTTTTGTCTACTAGAGGGGTATGCCGAGGCTATGTACGGATAATGTACGTTACCTAACACAGACCATCTGTGCTCCGTGGAAGACTGACTGATGGGGAGACAGATGAGTTTTGACAACCAGGTAGAAGGGACGAGTTTGTGCGGTGAACACTGGTCTGGGGCCGGCGCTGTCAACTAGTCTAGAAGCAACTTCAACCCGGGACTGCGGTTTCTCAAGCCCCCGTTCAGAAACCTTGCCCAATGGGTACGAGTTTTTTGATGGAGTTAGGGAACCCACGGTGCCAAGGCAGAGTTCTGTCTCTCTTTCTCTCTCTCTCTCTTTTCCTCCTCACAGCGACGAACAAGGAAAAGGGGGAGAGAATCAGTCCAAGGTGCTACTACTGGACGTTGGCTCGTACCCAAAACAGCTGAAACATCACTGGGCATAGCTTGGCTTCCTCCAGTACCTGTCAAGGAGCCTTGGAAGCTCGCCACAGACTACGCCCGTTTGTAAGACTCGAGTACACACGGCTTCAAGCCACGGCGCGGGAAACCTGATTATATTTCACACGGGGAAAAAAAAAAAGAAACTTATCTGAAATCTTCCACCCATGAGTTGAAGCCTGTCAGTCACACAGCAGGGCGCTCATTCGTGGCCACACGCGAGAGAGGTGTCTTTCAGCCACGTGGAAGAGGTAGAACGACAGGAGCACCCACGGTACCTAACACAAGACCGAGGGCCATCACCGGGAACCACAATCTGGTGGTTCGGTTAGCTGCTGCATCCTGTTGGGCCGGGGGCCAAGAGTGAGTGGTACTGCGTAGTAAGACTCATGCCGTTGGTAAACGCCGCTGGGGGAGGACAAGGGCTGACCGAAACCGGTCGTCGAGTGCACCATAGGTACGGCATTTGTGTCACGGCACCATCAAAAAGGTTGGAATTGTAAGACAGAACGGCGCGCCGGATTTCTCAAACAAAGCAAACTGCAGAGCCCAGCACACCGGCAAACTGTTTGCTTACAGGCTCAGGGCGCGTAAGACATAGGACTTACCGCCGGGCTTTGCTCCGTTGGATAACACTTTGTGCCACGCTAGATCAACATCCGTTCTCACCAAGGGTTAATGGTGCTGAGCGGTTGAAAAGTATCTCAACGGAGCTTCCGAGTCAAACCATGTTGGGAAATCCGCGACGGACAATCAGCAGTCATTCCCCAAGCGTCTGCCCGCAAGAAATGGCAGTGTCATCATCGTCGTCTGTCTGCCACCTGAGCATGAGTCAGCAACCGCTCCGAAGGACCGAGAAGCTTGATCAGAGACCGCTATTTCTAAAGTGGCAGCCAAATGTCCCGGTAGTTGGGATGGAGATTGTCCGCCGTCCGTCCGTCAGCCATGGTCGGTCGGAACTCTCAAGCCGCAGGGAGTAACTTTGGTCCTAATTAAAAAAAAAACCCTGGCGGCGGCCCCTGGTGATGGAGATTTCTACCCTGTCCGTGGATTAAGCTCAACCTTCTACTGGCATTCTAGAACTTGGACAGAACCCCTTCCTGACGGGCCCTGACTGGGACTCGGGAGCCACGAAATGCGGGTTCTCAGATGAGCGAGGGAGAGTGGCCGTGGTCGCTTGATGAAAAGCCCCTTCTAGCCTTCCAGGCTCATCCTCCCCCCCCTGACCCATCTCTCAATTTGTGAGGTTTTCCAATGAAACAAAACCTCTGGTCTCTAAAAGGAGGGCTAGATGCATGGATGCAGGCACCTACGTAGTAGACCAAACAGGCTGGAAATGAGGTCGGGCAGCTTGAGTTGGATGAACCCCACGCTTTCCAGTATCTCTCTGCCCAAGATGCATACCTAGGTTCTGGGGATACATGGTGATGTACCGTATACGAAAGTGCCATTCCACCATGGCATGCTATCCTCCCATGCCTTCTCCCAGCCTCGGAGAGAGGCTGTGGGGAGGGAAACCAAATGTCCATCGTACGACAAGTACGACGGAGAGGTGCCGATCGCCCAAAGTCTACCGAGAAAGCCGCTACCCTCACCTCCCCTGCCTTGCTTCGTCTGGTGTATCCTTACAAAGGCGGCAGCGATGCGGTGAGTGTTCGGTACTTCAAACCCAACCCAGGCACTGTTTGGGTGCTACCTACTGACATGGCCACGAGGGTGTAATCGGTCTGGATCCGGTGTCATGAACCGGAAGCGGGGACGTGAAAAGGGCGGTGTTGACTGATCCAGGGTCGTCGGAAGGGGGGAAAAAGGTTTCGGCCTGTCTGGGAAAGAAGAAGATGGACCTTGGACCTAGGTACGGATACCCAATGCATCCTTTCATTGGGCGGCAGCCACCAACCATCGTCTCTACTCTGAAGCTGAGGAGAGCCCTTTGCCTTCATGTCTGATGTCTCTCTTTCGCTGGCCCGGGAGTCTCCCCGACGTGGCAATAAAAGCATGTCTAAGCTGGACATCCCAAGACAGAGTTATTATGCGATGCGTTTGTTTGGATGGCATGATTGGCTATCGAGCCGCAAAACGCTCGAGCTTCCAAACCCTCTCCTGCGCATCTAATTGGCACGAGTGTGCGTAAGATCATGGCCAGTGGGGCAACATGCCGTCGACTTGTACCCAGAAGCCGTCGTCGCTGAGACCATGGACATGTCTCTGTTCCGAATCCCGGTTGCCGTGAGCATGAGCATGACAGGGCCCAGGCTAGTCATCTCTACCTGGCTGGAGACGCGGCACACTTACAAACTGCAACCCCCAAACTTGTTTGTCTCTTCCGATTCAAATCTGTAGGGAGAAGGCACGCTGTAATCTGCGTAACGCCGAATGACGAAGACTAACGCGCGCGGGAGTTGTGTAACATGGAGATTGTGGCTCCCTCTTCAAGGGATACCGGGCTTGCCCATCAGGTCTGCAATGTAGCAGCACCATGGCATGCACATGAAGGGCGAGAAAAAGGGCGAGAAAGCAAGCCGTGTCCGATTTCCCGCTATCGCACCCTGTCTCCTGCTGCGCGACTTCTTAATTTTATGGTTGATCGGCCGAGCCGTTAGCCGATGACCGGCCGCACGCGCAGGATTGGCGACGGCTCCCAATGAGGTTCAGCTAGTGAATCCACCGGTCAGGCGTTGAGGACCATTCCTGGCGTGTTGGTATACACAACAGAAGTGAGGTAGTCGTCGGCCGACGGACAGGGCCTTCGGTGACATGATTGACTCGGGGCGACGAGTTGTTGCGAAACAACAGCTGCTGCCCCCTTGGTTGCCAACGTCAACTTCACAACAAGCGGCGTCAGCTCTTTGGCTTTCCAGCCGGCCTACCATGTGCCAGCGTACCAGCCCAGCCTAACCCCAGTTATGCCCGGCAAGCCCCCCAGCCCAACCCCAAATCCTCCCTCGACCAGGGCCCTGGAACATCGTGTTCGAATTTCCGTGTGGCTTGCCCCGCCACGTGGCAATCTCCACCACTGAGACCGAGCCAGCCCGGATCTGGCATCGGTTTCTGATTTTGTCCTGCCTTCCAGTGTTTGCTACCGTTGGGCGGACCAAGAACGCAAGGCGTACCTATACACTACACCAAGACGCAACGTTGAGAGCTGATTTGGCATTCGCGGTCTTAGCAACCGCTGTGGTGTGTATGGCTGCTCTTCAAATTGAGGCGCTCGATTGTGCTTGGTAAGCCGAGAAGTGAGGACCAGGATGGTTGGGTCACTTGGACCTTTGACATCTGCACGTCGTTGGCCGCCCGTCTCGCTTCGTCCAAGCGGGATCGCGTGCTTATCTATATGTTTGTGTGGTCGACAGGGTTTGCGGTCGATAAGACGAACTGGTTTGGCGCCGATAGTGAACGGTATCGGAAGTTGTTTGACTTTAGAGTGTACAAGGGCTTGCGCCCAAGGTTTACCGCATCATGACTCTTGCGGGTAACCTGGCGGTGCCTGGCTACTGGCGTTATTGAGACTAGCCAAGTCGAAAATGACAATAAACGTCCCCTGGGCCATCGATGGGTCTAACGAACCGAGACGCCGGCCCGGCTTGTTTCAATCTGGCCGAAGTTGCGCTTGCCCGACAATGAAGCTATAGCTTCATGGACCACCAATAGCGGGAGCTTACCGACTCTCAGGGTTGACCCCCAACAAGCAAACAACAGCAAGAAGAAACCAACCGTTCGAGATAAGCCTTCCCAACACACGTGTGGCTGCAGAATGATGGAAGCCACCCCGCATGCGGAATTGACGGCAGAAACGGGAAAAGAAATTGCAGAAACCCCCTCACGAGATATCCACGTGGAAATAAAGGGGGGGGGTGAGCATCTCCAACCGCGCTGGGCACCCATCGTATGATCTCGCTCCCCGTTCCCTAGCAGGCTAGCATAGAACCCATATGCGCGTGATACGAAAGAAGCGGTGGGGTTTGTCTGATCGAGAGTGCTTTATGCGGCCTTTTCCCTGTCAGTCGCGGGAGATTTTCCATGACCAGCAATTGCAGCTACCATCCACGCGGGCAGTGTAGCAGCAACGCTTTTCCTCAACTTCCGTGGAAAATGACGCATTGTGGGGTTCTCCAACGGCCTATTGAAACCAAACGTTGGACGTGCAACTTGCCGTGCGGGAAACGAACAGACCAATCGGAGTTAAACAACTCATCCCTTTTCTCATAAAGCACCAGTGTCATGTCCCAGAAGGAATGATAGTTGGTGGTTGCTTCATTGATGGCAGGATCGACGCCCGGAATCGCTAGACCTAAAACTAGGCTGGTGAGCCTTTTCGTTCTGCAGGAGGAGCAGTCTGCATCTTGTGTATGCATCATCAGCCCCAGGCCACACGAGGTGTCAAGTCGGTAGCTTCGTAGCACCCCCTGTCGGCCCCGCGAACGAGAAGCCATGTCTTTGATCTGTCGATTTTCGTTTCTTTTTCCTTCCAGCCTCCAATGGCCAGTTCGTCTCAGATGTCTCTGAAACGGACATGTCTCTGAAACGGCTCTCAGCTGACTAGCCACGATATTCGACACGACTTGAGTGAACGCCACATGAGCCGTCGGGTTTCTCCACAGTTGATTGGTCTCGCTGTTGGGAAGAAGTGTGTCGAATCGTCGATGCAACTTATAGCTCGAAAGTACAAACTCGTCGAGGTCACACTCTGTCTCCGTAACTCTGCCCCGTTGATTGCGTCTTCGCCGGCTTTCCACATCGACATGTTTGGCGGCGAAAAGAGAGGGCTCGGGTGCAGAACAACTTGCTTCGGTATATGGATGTGCAAACCCTTATGAAGATTGCAGTGTATTGGTGAGAGATTAGCTTCTGCTAGCACTGTATAAGGAATATCGGTCCGCAAGCCGCACGCTATCGCCTTTCGGCGGGCAGGCATCCTGTTTTTCTCTAATGAGCTAGGTGCACAGTGACGCGACACAGAGGTATCCGAACCCCGCGCTGCGATGTTGCTTGAAGACTGATGAAGTCACCTATCATGGGAGTCCCCTGGACAGGGAGTATGCCCAACAAAATCTGACCCGTGCCAGCAACTTTCAGCCCATGAACCTGTCTTTGTCGCATAATTGCTGGATGCGCCCGACCCGCGCCTTGTGACTGGTTTGCTCAAGCGATACAGCTATTGACGGCGAGGCTCATCTAGGAGCGCGGCGATGTCGTTCGTCGTAGATGAAACGCACAGCTGCAGTTACCGCATTTACTAGCCATACCAGGATCGTTCAGACGTAAACGACGGCGAGCATTTCAAGCTGAACTTATTGCCAGCGATAATGCGCCACGAAGGAAGGAGGGAAAAAGCTGAGATCGGCGAGTGGTCTAACGCCTGCTACGCATTGCATGTACATATGCTTTTCGCATCCTCAAATCCTGATAGTGTGCTGCGAGCACTATAGTCTCGATCCGTTGCACCGGGCGTCCGCGGGCTTTCGTTCGATCTAAAATCCAACTTGGGTAAAAAGTAAGGTTCGTGCTGGTACAGAGTACGCCAGAAAGTTTGGCTGCCCAATCACTGCCAAAACATGGTTCGCTTCCACTTCAGGGACAGACGCGGGAGGGCGACGAGCGAAACGTCAGACGTTTGAAACCGAGAGGTAGCAAGGTTTGCTGAAGCGAAGGTAAGAAGTCCTGGCTTCCAAAAGACTGAACGGCATAAGGCGTCGAGCTAGCGTATTGTAAGCAGGACCCATCTTCCTATTCAGTCGTCGTAATTGTAATTTTCCGCTGCAGGGTTGCCCGGTAGTCCTTATTGGAATTGAAAGTTGAGACCCATCCTGCTTGAATTCAAACCGTAGTCACCGTCCACTGTGTGGTCTGGGGGTTTTCGCTCGTGTTTCCAGGAAGGCTTCTAGAAGGCTGGACGTTACGGAATACTTGGGCGGATGCTCGGTGTAGGCTCCAGGCGGCGGTGCAGGACTGCAAGTATCGTTAGGCCCCGGTATCACAGAAATATTAGGCGGGATCAGTCGTGGGGCGCATCCATCCGCAGCATCCGTTGTGTCTGTGCTGTCAACGCGCGTATGTAGCGGGCCGGTAGACCACCAGCCGCGCGAAGCTAACGGCTCAAAAGGGTCTGCACCTGCCTAGCCTTGAGGCGTCTTAAGAGGCCTTGATGAAACTTGTTTGATTATGGCAGCAGAGCTGCAGTTCGTGGCCCCAGGAGAGAGCAGCGAAATGAAGGAGCCAATTGTCGACCACAAAACAGCCTGAAGCATCTGCTTGTTTCCTCCAGTATCCGTAAGCCGGGAGAGGCCAAAGCTTGCGGTGTTAAATGTGGAGTCGTAGATATGGCATGGAATCAAAGGTGACTTCTGAAGCAAGGCGCTAAGCTGGAGGACAGGCTGCTTATCGCCTAGCGCTCCCTCGACGCATTGCTAGTCACTTGGAAGGCTGGCTTGATTGGCAAACGGCGTCCAAGTGGGCGTGTTTTAGGGTATAGGACTCCGGCTGCCAAGGGGGTAAAGATCGGCGTCCAGGGACCAAGGCGCGAAAGCAACTTTGTCGGAAATAACCAGCCATGAAGGGCCCATCTAGCAGCTCCTCCATCATTACGGTGACTCCGAAATCTATTTTTAGGCCGAGTCTACCTGGACGCACGCACACCCATCGGCCAGCTCAGCGTACATACTATGTAGCATACGAGACTGTGAAAGCGTTGCAGCGGGGCAGGGAAGGTGTCGAATGCATCCGGACCGTTGAGCTGGAGGCGGGCTCAGTCAGCTTCTGTATTATGTCAAGATAGGGCACCGTATCGATGATTTTGCTGTCGGGTACCACAGAGAAGGCTGTGATAACCCAATTATCAACATCATACTAACTATGCGCGAGTGAACGTGTCGCGCGACGAGTGTTGAGGAATGAAGAGTGCAGTGTGCGAGTTGAAATGCCGGAAAACATTGCCGAGAGAATTATTTTTCCTGATATTTTGCGTTTGTCGTGGTTCTTCGTCAATAATGTGGCTCTTTCGATTGCTGTTTCAGGCGTTCTGAATCGCCGACGGTGAGAATGCCGCCATTCTCGTCCAATGGGCCGCATTTGAAGCGAAGACAGAGGCTCCCAGATATGAGTAGATGCTCTGACTCCGCCAATCTCTGACAGTTTCTGGTTGACCATTCCAGTCCAGACAAATATTGGATGACGTTGGATGCGTACTGGGCTGTCTACCCGCACCAGCCCGTTGAGGTGAAGTGAGGGGACGGGTGCGGAAGCCAAATAAGTAGTGTCCTGTGACGCTGGACTTTGTCGGAATGTCAATGGCACACCGTGTGTCGATTGGTAGGGGGGTGCCAGGCTTCAATCAGTCAGCAGATGAGAGAAAGGTTGCCGTAGGTGCGTATTGTTACCGTATTAAGGTAAGGTGGTAAGGTAACTATGGCCGGGGAGGATTGAAGGTGGCGTAGGTGGGCGAGTTTGGGTTTGGATGTCCTGCATGGTGACGATCAATGAGCGACGAGCATCCCAACCGAGGAGAACGTGGTTGTGTCGAAAAGTGAGAAAGATGGCAGCCGAAAAGGATTGAAGGGGAAATGAGGGGGGCCTGTCCCCAGGACGGAAGGCAGGGGTGACTCTGCGTGGCAGCAACGTGACGCCGCCATACATAGAAAGACGCGGGCCCATCTGGATCCACTGCGTGGCTACAGGGAAGGTGCGGACCCAAAACAGCTTGGCTCGGTGGGAAGAATCCCTGAGGCCACGCGCCGATCTGTCGGCCGCTGGTGAGACTTCCAGGTGCGGCCCCTTGCCCCATGCCTCATTGGCGGAGACGGGCCTTATTGTGCCTCCGTACCCCCGCCGTCTTTTGCACTACGGCGCAGTGCAGATTGTTCCGTGGAACACGCCGTGTGCAAGGAACCTGAGGTAATGTCGACCATCGCGTAGCTTCGAAGAAACGGGTAAATGATGCAGACCCAGCAAATACACTTTCAGGTCGCTACACTACTATGGCAAATAGGTAAAACCCTGGGTACTGGGGAAATTAGATACATTTGACGGTAAGAATTTCAGGCCTCTTGTAGGCGCAGAGCAAATGTGCCGGTGGGATCCATGCATGTACCCAAGATATGTTCCAGACTCTGGCCACATGTTTGTCTTCGCTTAGGTAATATTGTGTCAAAAGTGTGCAGGCAACGGAAATAAGGAAAGAAACGGAGAGAGACAACGGCGGCCGGCAAACAGTTCCTCCTGCCTGCCGTGCCTGCCCAGCTAGCTGTGTTAAGCTTGTCTCTTTTTCTTTGCTTTTTCTCTCTTTTTTCCCCTTCTTTCCTTGCCGCACCTCCCTGCGCCATTGAATGGGCAGGTACTCGATACTGCCTGCCTGCCTGCCTGCCTGCCTTCCACCGCCTCGCCACCTTGCACTCGAAGGCATCGTGCTTCATATCCTTGTCATCCCCACCTCTTCTCGTTTTGGCTCACCGTCATTGGTTGATAGATCTGGGTACCTGCCTGGATCATCCGGCGACACATGGGAGCCATGAGATGGGAGCCACACAGTCTTGTTTCTGCACGCCTCTTGTCATTTTTTGACGAAGCGTGTATACAGTGTTAACAGTGCGAAGCACCTGCTTCCCTGTAAGTACATTCCTTCGTCCTTCCCACTCAATATCCACTTGACCCGGTCTTCAAGCATCCAATTACACCACAACTGGTAGCAGCATGGACTATCAACCACAACCCTTTGCGGTAATCCGACGGCGTCGTCAGCAAACCTCGTTCCCGCTCTCGTTGTGCCATCTCAAGTGCTTG